AAAATAAATAAATAAATAAATAAATAATAAAAGGAGAGGGAAAGATTGATGAGGCGCCTGGGTGGCTCAGGTGGTGGAGCGTGTGACTCTTGATCTTGGGGTCATAGGTTCAAGCCCCAGGTGGGGTGTAGAGATTACTTAAAAAAAAAAAAAAAGTAAAAGGAGAGGAAAGATTGATGCATGGAAAAGAAAAATGTACTTATTTCTGGTGATTTTAATTTTCTTTAGTATATTATTTTTATGTCTCCCAGATTTTCTGAATGGAGAAGGAACTGCATTTAGATTATTTTTAACAAAGTATTAGATACTCATAATTCAAATGAGAGAGACTGCGGAGTGTATAAATGTGTATAAGGTCGGGGTCCACTGACATTTGGCGGGGGCGTCACTCATTGCCCAAAGTCTGCCTCCACCTTTGGAAGATGAAATCTCCAGCAGTGATTTCTGACATTTGTCGGCCATGGCTAGTGATTGCCTTGCCGTACTGGGGTCACCATCCTGTTCTAACCAACCTCACTGTGTCATGTCATTTGGATTTATTCCAATTATCAGAATATTAAGTTTCAAGTATTGGTAAGCATTCTCGACGTAACAATGAATCTCTCCCTGTGGGTTCAACATGAATCCCGTCAGTCGAGTCAAGCACAGCATATTCATCCTTGCCAGAGTAAAGTGCTGTCATTATTCACGAGGATTAAGAAAACAATCTAAACACATAAGTGAAGCAGTGACCTTAAGTCCGTTTCTGCAGATCTTCAGGAAGCACCTTATACACACAGGTAGCCCAGCTTAGGGTCGTAGGGTGGTTTCTCTGTGACTGCAGCAACTCCAATAATATCAAGGCGGAGAGTTGACAAGGTGTCCTCACCTTAGTTACTTTTGGAGAGGAGGCCATGGCCAGGAGGAGCCCTAGGGGGCTCTTCACCCGCAGAGCTAGCCGGAAACCATCCTTCTTCCCCAGCATCCGGCGGCTGCCCAGGGGGGCAGATACACAGCCCGGCGACCACAGGAGCTAATCAGCCGCTGACAGTCAGGAGAAATTCCTGTTCGTGGATTTTTAAATTTGACTAACATTTTTTATTAATAAAATCATAATCTTTCATACACTTTTAGGTGTATTCTTAAATCCCAGACGTTTGCTCTACAACGGTAGTGATCAGCTTTGGCTGACAATTGATTTTAGCACCTGGCTGTTTAGGATTTAGCCAAAAGACATATTTAATATATAAAGTAAAAAGGGGAAATCCTGATTCAGAGCCTCCTTCCTTATTCGATATAAGCCCAAAGTCACCAGTCTTAATAGTGTCTCATTCTGAAATTTTAGCATACCTATCCTGGGCCTAAAAACACACAGAAATCTACTTTTTCCATCTCTTACTAGATTAATATTATATATATTGTCACTGCAAATTGCTGTTTTCCACTTAATATTGGTCATCTTTCCACATCAGTAGTACATGTCTGCTTCATTCTTTTTGGTGGCCCAGTAGGGAACTGGTTCAATTATTTATCCAGTGAAATACTTCAGCTTTAAAAACCATGCTGTAGAGATTTAATGATGTGACAAGACGATTGGAATTATTTTATGTGCAAGAAAGTAGTCAATGGGGAGGCATTGTTGCATTTGGGCTCAGAAAGCAAGACAGTCGTGGGTTCTAATCCCAGTTGTTGAGAGGATTAAGGAGAATCATTGAGAGGCACCGTGCCTTTCAGAAAGTATTTAAATTGATGTTAGCCAAGAAGTTTTTTTGTACCAAAAATACACACACACACGCACAAATAATTGGAGAGCTATCCATCAAAAAATCAGCAGTCATTCGGGGGCAGTAAGTACATGAGTGAGTATAGATGAAACTGCTGTGACAAAGAGACCCCCCACCCCAGCTCACACGCGGTAGGGGTTTATGTGTCTCTCACATAACTGTCCAGAGCTAAGCAGGTGGTCTAGAGCAGGTAGGCAGCTCTGTCCTACGAGATCAGCCAGGGACTTAAGTTCCTTCTGCGTCATTGAAGCACATCATGGTAAGGGCTCCTCCATCTGCAGGCAAGCCACCCTCACCTGCCAGTTCGGACACCCCTTGTCTTGGAGACGGCTGGCAGGAAGGGCGGAAAGAGGAAAGTAAAAGGCAAGCAACGTCACTTTGCAAAAGGGACACACTGACCCTCTCTGCCATTTCATTGGCGGGGACCGAGCCGCTGCAGGATGACTCCTGGCTGTAGGCCAGGCTGGCAAGTGAAGGAAGCCTTGAGCTGCTCAGCCCGGAGCTCTCCTAAAACTTAGAGCCTCTGAGCTTTAGGGTGTGTCTGTGGGGAAAAAAAAAACGGGAAAAGGAGAGAATGGAAGGAGACAATGAACAGTTCCTTATTTTCCTTAGCTCTCCTTGAGACATTTGAGTCGCCTTCTATTTTTAATTAATAAGGAATTCCCATTCGATGTAGGAAAAACTAGAAAATGGCAAGAGGCAAAATAGAAGAAACTCCCCCCCTCCCAAGAGCTCAGGTCTTGGCAGATTTTTCTATCTAGCTTTTGGGGTTTCCTGCATATTCTTGGGTGACCGCGTATTCCTCTTATCATAAGGCAAGGTGGAGGGGGGGCGGGGAGTAAGCCTCTTTCTCCTTCAGGGTTGTTTTCTGATGCCATCTGTGTGTGTGTTTGAAGGAGACAAGCCCCACAAGTGTGAGGTCTGTGGCAAGTGCTTCAGCCGGAAGGATAAGCTGAAGACACACATGCGCTGCCACACGGGGGTGAAGCCATACAAGTGTAAGACGTGTGACTATGCCGCGGCCGACAGCAGCAGCCTTAACAAGCACCTGCGGATCCACTCGGACGAGCGGCCCTTCAAATGCCAGATCTGCCCCTACGCCAGCCGCAACTCGAGCCAGCTCACCGTCCACCTGCGGTCCCACACAGGTAGGTCCCTCCTGCTGCCCTCGCGCTGGGCTCCTCACCACCAGCTACTGAAAAGCACCTTAAAGCACTGAGTCACAGCCCAAGTAGACGAACGGGGGACGTCTGCTCACTGCACGGTGTGCAGGTTCGCTTTGCGTCCACCCAGAAGAGCCTTTCTCGGTCGATGAGGGAAAAAAAAAAAACACGGCGCTTATAACCTCATCTCTATCTTTAGGCAACTTTATAACTTAGTCACTAGTAAAGTATTGAATGAGGAGGTGAGCTAAATGAAATCGAGAGATAACTATAAACAATGCGTTTTTAATAAATGTCTGCATAGTTTCTGCATTCCGGTCATTTTTGAAGTATACTCAGATTAGGTCAACATGCGATAGCTTCATGGAAAAACTCGGCAGGGTAGGTCACTTAACAAAGCATGGACGTTTCCTTTTGGCAAGTGTATCAGTTAGCTATGGATGCAGTGATGCTGTGTAATAAGCCCTACAAAAGCTCAGTGGCAGATTATAATCAATTACTGCTCACATACTTCGTGTCTAGCCAGTTGGCTAGACGCTCTGTTGATCTTGACTGGGCTCAATCACCTGTGGCGGGGAAAGGCTGGGTGTCCCCTGACCTTGGCTGGGGATCGGCTGCCTGGGGGTTAGCTGGCTGTCCACTTGCCTTAGCTGGGCTGGTCCGGCTCTGCTCCACGTGCCTCTCATCCTCCTTTTGGAACAGTGGGCTACCCCAGGTTTGTCCTTCTCATGACAGCGGCAGGGGTACAAGCAAGCACATCCCAGTGGGTAAGCCCATTTCAGGCCTCTGCTTGCATCCCATTGGTTGAAGCAGGCTATGTGGTGGGGCCTGGCGTCAGGGATGGGGCTGGCCTCACCCGCGCTGGGAGGTCACCACGAGGTTACAGGGCAAAGGCCAGAGATAGGAGGAAGGGTGAAGACTTGGGACCATTTTTGCAAACCACCACAGTCCACCACGCTGTCACACACAACTCTGACATGTGGATTTAATAATGCCTTCCTAAGACCCACATAAGTCACACCCCATCACAGGATCAGGCTCAAACACCCAGGATCCCGTGATTTTCCCTGGGTCTGGATATGGCTTCTTTTGACCTAAAGTTCCTTTGAAGTAAAAGACAAGTCGTCTGTTCCTACATTCCCAATGTACAGCGGTGACATGGAACCAGGGCATTTCCAGTTACCCTGCTGTTCGAAAAGAGAAGAATGGGAGGCACTTGGCATTCACAGCTCCAGGGGTTTCCAGAATCCCTCTGGGCACATGTCCCCAGGTCCCCTCACTCTGGAGACAGAGAATGTTCCCTGATTAGGCCTCGGCTCAGCTTCCTGGCTCCTGACTCTGCCCACTGCAGCATCCTTCCCATCAGCTGCCTGAGCCCCTTCCAAAAAGTAGTGGAAAAGGTACTTTTGTGAAACTTTCTCAGCCTGCTTCCCGCCTACCAAAAGTAGGGCTCTTTTTAGTCAAGGGGGATGACAGGTTTGCTGGTAGAGCCGTGTGCAAAATTTTGTGAGTCTGTGTGCTGAAAGCCACACCCACAATTCTTTCAGAGACTCTCCTTTCCTCTGAACCCCATTGTAGGCACTTTTGGCATATAACCTTCTGTGGCTGAATCCCTTGACGTCCCTAGGAATCCTTGTCCAGCTGGAGAACCTACGTGGCGCCAACTTAATTCTTTCGGAGATTTTAACGAAGAACCCTACATTCACACCCCTCATTTCTCATTCGGTCCTCCCCCTGAGATCACATCCCTGGGTATGACCTTTGTCCCCCGGCTTCTGTCTTACTTTGGAAACCCTTTGCTGGTTGGAGGTGAGAAATGTTATCTAACTCAGCACATCTTCGGTTTGCTCTATTCTCTCGAAATTCCATGTAGAAAGTGGCCAGTTCTTGTGTGAGTTTGTCTCTTCCTTATAGGACCTCATCATATGCAGCCCGTAAGGCACTTTCACCGTTCTGCCCAGAATTAATCTCTTTGCTCAAGTCCCAAATTCAACAGGTATATTATATTCTCTATCTTCTCACTTACTGCAGGTGACAATGGGACCAAATGTTTGCCATTAAATCGTGTGCCCTGCCACTTCTCCAGTCTTTTCTTGCCGTCCAGTCCCCAAAGCCAATGCTACATATTCTAATTTTCTGGTATGGCTGCACCCTTGTTTCTAGATATCAATCTCTGTGTTAGTTATCCGTTGTCACACTAAATGCAGTGTAACAAATACTCCCACAAAACCTCATTGGACACAACGATGTACCTTTTCTGGTGGCATGCTGGGGATCAGCTGGGGGTCACTTCGGCAGTTCTGATCTTGGCTGGACTCACATGTCCGAGAATCTGCTGGCTGTGAGCTGTCTGTCCACTGGTCTTGGCGGCGGGAATCCAGCGCTTCTCCACATTTCTGTCACCCTGCTCCTGGGACCAGCACGCCAAGCCAGCCTTGATCATCTCATGGCGATGGCTGACAGAGGTGCAAGCAAGCAAACCCCAGTGTACAAGCCCATTTCAAGCCATTACTCATATCAAGTCTACTGAAGATACCATCAGCCAAATGTAGCCACATGATTGTCGAGGGACATGGCAGGTCATCCTGCCTCTGTCTGGAGACCATGCATAATGGCACGCGTGGCAGAGGCCATGGCTACGGGAAGGGATGAGAGGTGGTGAGATTTGGGAACGTTTTTGTGGTCTACTAAAGCAAGTTCCAGACATAGGCATAACCAATGGCCAACTGAGTTTCTTCAGAAATCTCCCACACCTATGTTAGAGGACCTGAAGGACTCGTTTACGAAAGTGGTTCTGAATCATTTTGACTTAGAAGGATAAACTTACCATTGACAGTAGCATCTTCAAGTTGGTCTAGGAAAGGTGAATTTTCTAAAACTTTAAATGTATGCTGTTTATGCAGTGTCTCCATGGACTGTTCATTTCCCTTTTATAAATCCGTGGCACTTAGAAAATTTTACAAATTGTAAAATTAATAGGATTTTGTTTGTATCCTTTCATCGCTAGGACTGACTTCATTCATCATCAGTGGTTTTCATAGCAAGCTAAACTCAAGAAAGATCTGTCAGCTTACATATATCAGTTGCTTGTTCATTCAACAACATTCATAAAGTCCCCGCGAGGTACTAGACACTGTGAGGATCACGTGGGGGGCAAGAACAAACGTAGTCCTTAGCTTTGGAGAGCTCATGGCCCCATGGAACCATGACTGACCATTACGCCTCAGTTGAGAAATCTGTGGTTAAAAAAAAAAAAAAAAGATGACAAAGGGATTGGAAACCTTTGCTTTCATATCAAAAAGTGTTGTTAACTCTGCAACTCAGCTGTGAGATTTGGTTATCTGGTATTTCTGGGTTTCACCTCTGCTGACAGCTTTAAAAAAAAAAAAGGCAAAAAGACTGTAACTAATTTGGGGAGGGATTAACAGGAAAACCTAGTAGAAAATTCTGGAGCAGGGATTCTTCCTTCTGGATCCACAGATACCTCCACTCAGAGATCCATGAATAGGCTTTAGATGGTCCATGAATTTGGATGGGAAAAAAATTACATCTTCATTTTCACTAACCAAACTGTATTGAAATTGGGCGTGTCCTTCCATTTGAAAATTGGCAACTGATCTGAGAATAGTGCATATTGCTGCCAGTGGAAATCACAGATCTTTTCATAACAGTCCCTGGAGATCGATCAATATATCATTTATGCTCTTTTCTATTTAGAAATTATAGTTACAGATCCGCCACTAGATCTTCTTATTTAATGCATTAATAAAGCACACATAGGGGCACCTGGCTGGCTCAGTTGGTGGAGCATACAACTCTTGATCTTGGGGTCGTGAGTTCGAGCCCCATGCACAGATAATTACCCAGCATCTAAGAATACCAGCTTTGGAGCCAGCCTGGGTTGGAATCCAAGCCCTGCTACGTACTACTGGGGGATCGTGAACAAGTCATTGCAGTCTATCTAGGCCTCATTTGTACAGTAGTGTTAAGACTAATATAATAGTACCCACGTCGTGGGAATGTTGGGAGCATCAAATGAGACCATTCTTGTGGAGTGCTCAGCAGAGTGCCTGCCATCTTGGAAGCAACCGAAGAATGTTAGCTGCTACTTGGCTTGCTTCAACAATATTGAAATGGGCGGGGTCACCAATTTGCTTGAACTATCTGTACCTTAGATAATTCGGACTTGCCATTCATTGAGGAAACAAATTTGGAGTACCATGTGCATTCAGATGTTTGCAATTTCACTTTCCCTGCTCATCTTTCAGCGACCGTGAATTTAAAAAACAAACAAACAAACCAAGCAGCTGGATTTCGTAACTTCACGAGTAAAGAACGCAGCTGGCAATGTGGGATAAATAAATTTTGCGCAATAAACACGTCTTTATTAATAAAAATCTGCATGAAGCGTAAGCTGGGCATTTCAATCGCTTTATAAAGACTATTCTGATGAGTGAGCATGGAGCTGACTGATTCCAAATGTGTCCTCGAATCTGTTACGACATGTAACTCAATCAAAATCAACGGATTATGCAAAATTTACACAACTGTGAACCATTAACTAGCAGAGTGGGCACATGAGCAAAATGAACCATAGCTTGATCGTTTTAAAGAACCTAAGTATATTCACAAATTCCATTTTATTTGGGACAATTGAATAGCTCTTTTCAGTCTCCCGTTTTTCTTGTGGGTTTTTTTTTTAACGGTGCTGGTGGTTTAGGTTTGGGGAAAGAAAAGAAGCCCCCCCCACCCCCCTTCCCCACCCCACCCCCAGGGGCTAGCAGCTGCAGTAGGAAGGTCTCCATCCGCCTGTCTTGGTATAAGCGATTTTCTGGTGTGTGCTTCGGGGGGATCCGCTGTGGTTGTTGCCTGCCTGTTCTTATCGAAACTCACCTTGTGTTGACAGGGGACGCCCCCTTCCAGTGCTGGCTCTGTAGCGCCAAGTTCAAAATCAGCTCGGACTTGAAAAGGCACATGCGCGTGCACTCGGGGGAGAAGCCTTTCAAGTGTGAGTTCTGCAATGTCCGCTGCACCATGAAGGGCAACCTCAAGTCGCACATCCGCATCAAGCACAGCGGGAATAACTTCAAGTGTCCGCATTGCGACTTCCTGGGTGACAGCAAAGCCACCCTCCGTAAGCACAGCCGGGTGCACCAGTCGGAGCACCCGGAGAAGTGCTCCGAGTGCAGCTACTCGTGCTCCAGCAAGGCGGCGCTGCGCATCCACGAGCGCATCCACTGCACCGACCGCCCCTTCAAGTGTCATTACTGCAGCTTCGACACCAAGCAGCCCAGCAACCTAAGCAAGCACATGAAGAAGTTCCACGGGGACATGGTGAAGACCGAGGCCTTGGAGAGGAAAGACGCGGGCCGACAGAGCAGCCGGCAGGTGGCCAAGCTGGACGCCAAGAAGACTTTCCACTGTGATACATGCGACGCCTCGTTCATGCGCGAGGACTCGCTCCGCAGCCACAAAAGGCAGCACAGTGAGTACAGTGAGAATAAGAACTCGGATGTGACGGTCCTGCAGTTCCAGATAGACCCCAGCAAGCAGCCGGCCCCGCCCCTCACCGTGGGCCACCTGCAGGTGCCCCTCCAGCCCAGCCAAGTGCCCCAGTTCAGCGAGGGGCGAGTCAAAATCATCGTTGGGCATCAAGTGCCACAGGCCAACACCATCATCCAGGCGGCCGCCGCCGCGGTGAACATCGTACCCCCCGCCTTGGTGGCGCAGAACCCGGAGGAACTCCCCGGGAACAGCCGGCTGCAGATTTTGCGCCAGGTCAATCTGATCGCCCCCCCTCAGCCCTCAGGGTGTCCGAGCGAGGCGGGCACGATGACCCAGCCCGCTGTCCTGCTGACCACTCATGACCAGGCCGATGGGGCCACTCTGCACCAGACTCTCATCCCCACGACGCCCGGCAGCCCCCAGGAAGGCTCCAGCAACCAGACTTTCATCACCAGTTCGGGTATTACATGCACAGACTTTGAAGGCCTTAATGCTTTGATTCAAGAGGGGACAGCTGAAGTGACAGTGGTGAGCGATGGAGGTCAGAACATCGCCATGGACACCACGGCCCCGCCTATATTCTCCTCCTCCTCCCAACAAGAACTGCCCAAACAGACTTACTCCATCATTCAAGGGGGAGCCCACCCAGCCTTGCTCTGTCCCGCGGATTCCATACCAGATTAGTACCTAAAAACCAAAAGAAAGGGAGGGAAAAGGAGTGACAAAAACAGGAAGTCCTAAAAAGAATTCTGTAAGAGGTTTGCTCTTAATGTTTTTAAGGATTGATGTGAAACCCCTCCCCTCGTAATAAATCGTAATTTTATACTGCTTACTATGATTTTTTAATGCTTGTGACCACCTCGGAATCGCCGTGTTCTAACTGTTGTAGAATGTTGCCAAGATGATTCCAATTAGGACTTGGAATTCAATGCAGTGAGTAGTGAATACATTTGTTTTGTCCGGCTTGATTTCCCAATTCTGAGAAGGGTTTTTTCCAATCTTATTAAATTTGTGTGGGAGATGGGAGACTTCCCAACCTCTCTGAAGTCACCATTCTGAAATACCCCCCTTCCAGGTCTGGGCTATTACTGTTTTAGTACATGGATACAAATCTATTGGCATGAGGACCATTTTCTATATAATGTTACATGGATACTTGACCCCCCCCCCAAAAAAAATGTTTAGTGCTAATGAGAAAAAAGAAATGGTTTCCTAATAAATTGATACGTGAGTAAAATATACTGAATGTTAATGATTCTTTAGAGTCACAGTATGACTGGGGCATAATGGGGTGTGAATTATCCTACAACTAAAGAGAATTTGAAGAAGCAAAGGTTTTTAGTCCTCCGATCAATATTATACAGATGTCTTACAACCTTCACAGTCAACTTAAGTATTACTGATGCCTAAAATGACCCAATGATACCATTTCCATTTTGGAACGAGATTGACAAACCTGACATTTCTGTTTAGATGCAAATATGATGTGAGTTCCTACTAACATTTAGAATGGATTTCTAGGATCCCATTGTTTGAAATATCAGTATTGTGCAATCTCGGGGACCAGACGAGTGGTATTGGAAAAGCACCTACATTTTTCAGAAGGGTAGGCTCTACTGAGGAAAGGGAAATTCAAATGTTACTGTTTTAGAATTAAAATGCTGTTCGATCAGTAGGTGGCGCCAGAGAGCAAGCTAGAATTACCCATGCTTGTAACCAAAGCCGTAATTTCCAGCCTCTAGCGCGATCTTCAACTCATCCTGGGTTCTTAACTATTGGATGACTGAAACATGCTCTCACAGAGTGTCAGCAAGGATTGGTGAGGAAAGCATATTTAAAATGTTACGAGAACCCTTACATTTTTTAAAAGGTTTTATTTATTTGACACAGGAGGAGAGAGCACAAGCAGAGGGAGCGGCGGGCAGGGGGAGAGGGAAAGGCAGACTCTCCCAATGAGCCAGGAGCCCCAGTGCGGGGCTTGATCCCAGGACCCTAGGATCATGACCTGAGCCGAAGGTAGTCGCTTAACTGATTGAACCACCCAGGAACCCGGAGAACCCTTACATTTTTACCAGAGCCCTCATCACTTTCATTTTCCTAGCACACAAACTTACTAAAATTTTCATGCAGATCAGCTCACTTTTACATAAAGATATTACCCATCCCCCCCCCCTTTTCTTTGGTAACAACAAACTAAGGAAATACACAAAATAGTGACGCGGAAACCTTCGGGGTTTGCCTGTTGGAATAGGAAAATCAACTTCCCTTAACGAAATAGCTGTAAAGTTTGCGTTGTCTCCTTCCTTTCTTTGATCCTTAATATCTGAACACAATTCTGAGAATTCGCGGGGTGGGGGGGGGGCAATTTATTTTCATATAAGCAATGGTGGTAATGAGTCATTAACTGTGGTTTGGCAAGAAAATGAAAAAGCTTGCAGCGTACTATGTTAATATTTTAATAATTTCACTGCTTTAGAATTATTGCTTACAGCCATTTTTTTTTTTTTTAACTAAGAGGGAGCGCACTAGGTGGGGGAGGCATGGAGGGGCAGAGGGTGAGGGAGAGAGAGAATCTTAAGCAGGCTCCACCGCCAGCACAGAGCCTGACACCAGGCTCTGTTTCAGGACCCTGAGATCATGACCTGAGCCCAAATCAAGTCAGATGCTAACTGACTGCGCCACCCAGGTGTCCCGCCTACAGCTCTTTAAGAAACTATTTAGCTATTCAGTTTTAGCTGGCAAATTTCTATTGTCATGAACCTGTTTTCCACATCTTTCTTTCCCAGAATGCCCCTTTCTTCAACTTTTAAAGGATTTTTTTCCCTGATTAGAAATGTAATGTGCATTCAAGGTAGAAAAGATACAAACCCATGATATTATTTTTAAAAATTAACATTGGGGCACTTGGGTGCTTAGTTAAGCATCTGACTCTTGGTTTCTGCTCAGGTCAGGATCTTGGGGTCATGCCATCAAGCCAACCTCGGGCTCTGCACTCAGCGTCGAGTCTGCTTGAGATTCTCTCTCCCCCACCCCCCGCCCTTTGCCCCCCACCTCCTGCTCGTGCACACTCTAAATAAATAAATAAAATCTTTTAAAAAATAAAAATTTTTAAAAATTAAAATCAAAGTTACTGGTAATCTTCTACCCAGACATAAAAACTGTGACCATTTTGATGGACTTCCTTTGTTTCTATGTTTATGTATGTATGGTTTCCATTCTAGTTATAGAGTTGGGTTTGAATCAAGCATACTGTTTTCTGTTTATATATTTCCTTTTATATATTTATATCTCCAGCTATCTGCTGCCCCCATACACACCTACACATGCATACACACACACACACACGCATAATTGGATTTTTTTTAACAAACCACAACAGCAAAACTTGTTCCTTGTAATAAACTATATACAGAATTGTACAAAAACCAAGCCAATCATCTCCAGCGCCCTTCCTATTCTCCTCCTATCTAGGGTTAGTAATGCTAAGTTTTCTCTGTATTCATACTGACATACACAGACTCAAAACAATAATGTAGAAAAGGTTTTTTCCTATTTTTCTAGTAATTGTATCATACTATGTATATTTCTCTGCATTTGCTCTTACTATTCCATGTATGAACAGGATTACAGGTGAATACGGCTATCTCTACTGTTTTTTTTAAGCAAAGGTAGTGTGAACATACCATGCGTTATTCAGCCATCTCCCTACTCATGGATATTCAGGTTGTTTTGTTTTTATTTGCCATTAAAAACAGTAGCAATCAACCTCCTGCACAATTGCTCACATTCGATTGTGCTTTTGGAGTTACAACGAGTGTCTGTAGTTTGTACTTGCGTATAGATTTAGATTACTTTTTTCGAAATGGTAGCCTCATCCGTGGTGCAGGCCCCAGTGATCACCAATCCTGGCTATTAGCAATCTTTCAAAATTTTGTCAGTCTGATAAGTGAAATGAGCCATCTGGGCTCTGTGCATTTCCCCAGCTGGTGTTTTGATCTGCATTTCTGTGACATCTCTATATAGACTTGTTGATCATTGGCCATTTTCTTGTCTGTGAACCTAAAACACATTCTCCCTCATGTTTCTCCTTGAGTTGTTGGGCACTGGGGACACGAACCCCATGTCTGTCACATTTTCTCCCCTCCTGTCCTTTGTCTTCTGACACCTCACAAAAAGAACTCTCTTTTCCTATAGTCAGCCTTCTATTGCTTCACTTGGGGCTTCTGTTTTTTCTAGGACTGTCATCTCTTCCCCTGAGATGAGAAAAGGGTGTTGTTTTTTTTTTCCTTTAATATATTTGTTGTTTGTTTTTAGTTAGCAACTTACCGCAGCAAAAATTCCTATTTATACACATTTGACATGGAAATTTGGCAGCCCACATATGCCAGGACCATTTGTTAAATACAATATTATTTTCCTTGCTACTGAAATCCTAATTTCACCTGTAAATGGAAGTTCTCAAATACACTTGGATCTGTTTCTGGAAGCTCTGCTTTGTCTCACTGATCTTTATATCTTCTCTGGTTTGCCAGCAACACACATTTTATTATAGTAGCATTAAGGTGAGCCTTACTGTCTTTTAGGATCACAAAGCCTCCCTCTAGCTATTCTTTTCCAAAATTTTCTTAGCAATTCCTAGATATTCATTCTTCCAAATGAACTATCATTTTATCCAGTACTTCTCAAGCCCCCCCCCAAAAAAAATCCTTTTGAGAATTTTTATTAGAAATGGATCCATGTGATATTGAACTTATACAAAGAATGACTTATTAAAATATGTTAAATCTTACACGCAAAAACCTTTATTCAGCTCCTGGGTTAACCATTATTCATATGGTTTTCTTCATACACAATCTGTTCTTATGATATGAGGCCTATATTTCCTTATTATTGTATAATTTTATTATAATTATAAATAGGGGGGCATCTGGGTGGCTCAGTCGTTAAGCGTCTGCCTCTGGCTCAGGTCGTGGTCCCAGGGTCCTGGGATCGAGCCCCGCATCGGGCTCGCTGCTCCGCAG